CGTGAAAATTTTTTGCTTTTTATATGTGCATTAGTATGTAATAATTACATCTATCGTAAATACACGCACATACACATACCTATAAACAGATAAAGTCATCGACAGAAATTGTCACATTTTATTCCATAATTTCCACGAGTCGTAATTGTTATCATTGATGTAATTGGAAACATTGTTCCTAATAGTGATGAGACCAGTGAGTTAAACAATAAGCGATTGAGTGTCCTTTTTAGATCGGTTTACTTTTCAAATTACATATTGTCACGTGTGAGCAACCCACCATACAGGAACAAGCGTCTAGAGGCTTATAGAGTGGGTTGCCTATATCACGCTAATAATAAAGAAGACTGGAGTCTAGATCCAACATTCTGAAATCTTCCTAGAACAAACACAATAAATAGTTACTGCGTAGTTAGAGGAGCTAGTTCTAGTTCTAGTTATAAGAAACCATACCTAATACAAAGTAAGAAGAGCAAAAAAGCGATTCAGTAAGTAATCTAGTGATATTAATTAATGAGTAATTACTTAAATAAATTAGCGAATAATGCCGCGATATTTGATATTAGGTGTGGAGTTGAAAAAGTTTGAAGATGAAGAGAAGCGTTTTGAAGAATTTCATTGAATACTTCACAGCGTTTCATCGCCCAGTTTTCCATACATTGTCAAGGAACCACATATCAGTAGAGAAATATCACGAATCGAGAAGAACGAATTTTCTGGATATTTACATGGATCGTTATAGCCCTAACAAGTCATTCATCACTGAAAAGCTCTCGAACAACGAGATTTTGCCAGAATTGAAGAATTTCATAGAAATTTCTGGATAAGATTGAGGTATTTCATGCCTGCTACAAGTTACAACCAAATGTACCGAAGCAGAAATGGAGGAGTAAAATACATAAAAATTGGAAAAAAAGAAATGAAAAGAAATGGAAGCAACAGAAGAAGCAGTAAATATGAAAATGAAGGAAAAGATAAATGGTATTAGAAAAGGAAAATGGAAATGAAGATAGAAGAGAGGGAAATTAAGATAGAAAAAAAAATTGAATAAAGGAAAGAAGAAATTGAAAAGCTGAAACTACTCTCTACCTCTACCTCCAACGTTCAATGAGAAAATCTCGTAGTCCATCTTATCAACCTAGAAATGAGGTAAGGCGATAAACATCTAAAACAAGTACATCAGACAAACTAATGAAACTACAACATGTCCTTAGACTAGTACGCCACAAGACTTCAAGTGAAACAATGTCACATGCCTCAGATTTTGAAGGTACGAAACAAGCTTTCAAAAACTACATACAAGTACGACAAGCAGAAATCAACGACAGTAAAAATGTGAGGAATGAGAAATGAAGAAAGTCACTGCTACAAACGCAGGAGAACAAAATCTAGAAGGATTGATCATTTTGCTGACAGGCCCTGACAAAACAGATATCGTACTCATTCGTTGATGCCGACTCTAGTAATGTGATACTTGGTGGTGTGCTATAGCAAATATAAGACGAAAAGGAAAAAGTCATTGGTTATTTTAATAAAACACTCTCGAACCAAGAGCAAAATTATTATGCGGTCCATCGAGAACTAGTGACTATGGTGAAAACCATTGAACGCTTTCATAAGTATCTATATGGACGCAAATTCTTCTTAAGAACGTATCACGTCTCAGGAAGTGTCTATTACAGTTGCAACGCTGGTTAGAACGACTTCAAGAATACGAGTTCGATATCAAGCATCGCCCAGTCAAACAACACGGCAAAACACAAACGCACTATCCCAGAGACTCTGCGTGGAAAAATGCAAACATTGTTCATCTGCGGAATAGAAAAAAAGGATGGCATCAACCAGTTGTAATATAACTTTGTTCAACCTGAGGGATCCCAAATAATGAGATGGAAGGAACGAGAAACCTCAGCACCATAGTAGGTAGATATAAGCCACCTTAGCTTAAACCGCGGCAATTTAAAAAGCGGTACTTCCAAAGAACAGAGAGTCAGAAGCCTTAGAATCCATCCAGGACGAAGGATATTTCGACATTACGAGGATTTTAGGGAAGATTCAGAAGCGATTTTAATCGCTACGAAGTAAAAACAATATGGAAGACTGGTGCATGAAATTCCCGACATACGTCATCAGTATAGGGTCAAAGACAAGGAGTCATGGACATATACAGCAGTACAACGTGCCTTTTGAGAGAATCGCAGTTGACGTGGCAGGATTATTCCAATAACAGACCCCAGTAATATACGCGATACTGAATCAGGAAGCACACACCATTACCGGAAAGCTTGTCAATAACGGAATTAGCCGATATAGAATATAAATGGAATTGTATTTCAACTAAGGTAGGAAATACTAGTCGGCATTATTCGGGAAAGTCACTGAGCTAGTGGGCACAAAAACAATGACTACGCCCTTACATCCACAGTCTGACGAGATGATTGAACGTTTGAATGCTACTCTGGAGACCAACTTAAGGACCTTCGTTAAAGATCACCAAACTAACTGGGACCCACGCATACCTCTATTCCTCTTGGCTTGTAGATTCGTCATCCATGAGACAACTGGAAGAACATCTGACCAAATGCCCCTTGCAGAACCCCGTAGCTACCTCAGTGACAGTGCATGAAATGTTTTCCAATAAAATCGAGATTTATTTTCTTTAAATAAATAAATGTCAGTGTATTACAAGCTTTCATGGCCCGTATAACTTGTAAATGAATAACGTAAAAAAAAAATTAAAAATGTGGATTCAAAATTTTTATGTTTCATGTTTGTCGATATTGATTACGTGCAGTAAGTACCTATCCCTACAATGCAACAATGCTTACTTATTGAAACGTCATTATGGAAGGTGTGCAAAATGTCGAATTAAATACTGCAGGGGTTCTTGTTGCGAAATCTTCGCGTAGGCAATCTTGAAATACATATACACAGTGCAAACTACCACTTTGTAGATATGTGTGCGTATATTCACCCAGCTATTGATGATGGCTGCATGTTTTAACGCAGTGCCAGGATGAACATTTTTGAATACGATATATCTAGTACATATTTTTGCATGATAATAATGAAGAAATACGATTAAGTATAAGCATATGAAAACATTTGTAATAAATAATAAAATCATAATCACTACCTGGCGCATGAAAGAATTCTATTGTCAATGTATTCAAGGCGGTCGAACACTGTTGTGGTACATTGGATATGCTTGAACTGTACACCCCAAATCCATGTCATCTGAGTTCCTGAATCGTTATTTTTCAGAGAATCTGCACTTAGCAAATCAAATAATGATGATCATGATTATATAAACAGTATTTTCGCATGCATAACAGCAAACACAATTTCGTTCACCCCACACGTAAGTGTTTCCCCACTTATTGCTTTAATCATCATAAGGTTGTCAATCCTAAGGTGGATGGTTGAACACGCACATCCACTCTTTTCTATCCTGAGCTAATATTCGCATTTCCCTAAAACTAGAACATGTCAAATCCTTAACTACTTGCGAACAGTAATTTAATCTAGATCTACCTCTACTCCTCTTAACTCCTGTTTCTGCCTCTAATATGTCTCTGACGAGATCTTCATGTCTGAGCAGGTGTCCTACCAACCTTTCTCACCTATTTTTATTAACATCCATGGAGTCCTCTGCTCTCCTAATCTTTCTAATACCTTTTCATTTCTAGCCTTCTCTATCCACGGTATCCTCATTATGATTGTTTTATGTCCCTTAAAACTTTACAGGAGAATATATCTAAAACCATCAGTTGTTTTAACATTGTAAACTATTTTAAACTTGTTTCAATTAATAAAGTCGACAGTACATAGGTTCCTAATACACTATTTTCGAATTAAGTTCGTAATAATCAGCTAAAACTGTAGTTCAATCGACCCTAAGATGACAGGTACTTAACCACCTCCAGGGCCTCCATACATAAAGTGACCATATTATTTTTTTGTCAAAGCGGGACGTCCGTTGTAGAATTATGTAAAGAAAAAAGTTTGTTGTTTTTCAAATTTTTTTATTAAAAAAAGAGTAGAGTACGTTACATTACTTATAGTTAGGCTGTATTTTATATTTGCCAGCTGAACAAATCTTTTTTTAAACCTCTGGTTTCGTTTTTTAGGTACTTAGGTACGAATAGACCTCAGTACACGATTTATTTATGTTAATCTTTGTAATCAAAATTGCTTTCAATACTGAAACGCTCAACTGTTCTTTTTTACTCGTCCATATTTTGTTTATTTGAGAAAAGACTTTTTTCGACAGGTGCGTTACTTCTGGACAGACACAAGACGTACTCAATAATTATAGAAAAGTTCGTTAAGTGGATATTGTTTGGTCTGTTTGCGAAAGCGGGACTTTTATGCCCTCGCTGGGGACAGCGGGACGGACAGCCTGAAAGCGGGACTGTCCCGCGACTACCAGTTATACACATGCTTTTGCTGAAGACACTNAGGTGCGTTACTTCTAGACAGACATAAGACATACTTAATAATTATAGAAAAGTTCGTTAAGTCGATATTGTTTGGTCTGTTTGCGAAAGCGGGACTTTTATGCCCTCACTGGGGACAGCGGGACGGACAGCCTGAAAGCGGGACTGTCCCACTCAAAGCGGGACGTATGGTCACCTTATCCATGCAGGAACCTCGGTAGTCTCCTTTCAGTAAATATCACAATAGAATGTGCTATACTTCATATACATAATATGTTTTTACTTATTTTGAATATTAACGGTAACAAACCTATCTGTTATGATTATTATAAATCTGCGTTTAAGCTTTTTCGAGATTTAAAACAAAAAGAGAATATACGGGATTTTAAACCAACCTGCTCAAAAACGATTACTTAAATACTGAGCAATCCAAAATTTCATCAAGATCAGTACAAAAAATACATATTTACTCTATAATATTCTATTTAGTTAGATAAATATAAGAAAATACGATGAACTATGAAAAATGTGTTTTCAATTTTAATAGTGTTTCATTTATAGATGGAATATGTGGAATAAGACATTTGCAAGTCACATTAATGTTTGGCGCTGTTTTCATGGGCTACGCGACCAGACTTAACATGTCAATTGCTGTTGTTGCAATGTTAGATCCAAATGCTTCCCCAAATCCAGATGTACCCGTAAGTTTTATTTCTCCATTATTATAAAATTACTGGGTATTGTATAATATACATACTTATTGTATGAATGAATCGGTACAACTATAATATTTAAGGGGAGTGTGAAGCTTCAAATAAAAGCTAAGGTCAGGAGAAACGCGGTGATGGGGTTCTCTGTCTGCTGGAACCTTCCCGTTCAAGAGATATAAGAACCGGTTGTCTGCAAGAATATGAACATGCAGACAACCTACTTATAAAAAAAATATATTTTAAAAGTGAATTTAACATTAAAGGACCCAACCTAACGTCATCTGACTTACCAGAATTACAAATTACATTTAATGGATAGATAGCCTTCTTATCAGTACATGTATTAAAGTCAATTTAAAAGAATTCATGTAACTTAACTTAACTTAACTTAACTTAACATTCGACGAAATAATCAAATCTATAAAACCTTAATTAACAAATTGTCAAATACCAAAAATGGCGCGGTAAACGCCATCTGTCGTACAATGCTACATTTTAGGATTACGTATGTTCCAACAAGTAGATATCCACACAAATGGACCTTGTTGGAGCATACGTAATCCTAAAATGTAGCATTGTACTACAGATGGCGTTTACCACGCCATTTTTGGTATTTTACAAAACGCGCTGTTAAGACAGCAGGTAAAAATTGGTTTTTGTTCTGTCGAAGCTGTCTGCGACGCGCTGATGAGATCCACAATCCGCGTCTGGCAGTTTCGACAGAATACAGACCACTTCGAATTATGTTATTTGATTATGGTGACGTGCCTATCACGTAGTGGTTAGCTACGCCGGGATTCGTTTCAGTAAGTAGAGATATCCATATATTTAAATGGACCTTGTTGGAGCATACGTAATCCTAAAATGTAGCATTGTACTACATATGGCGTTTACCGCGCCATTTGTGGTATTTTACAATTCGTTAATTAAGGTTTTATACATTTGATTATTTCGTCGAATGGATCCAACTTTTAAATTACATGAATTCTTTTAATGTTAAATTGACTTTAATACATGTACTAATAAGAAGGATATCTATCCATTAATTGTGCATGTACTATTAATAGGTTTGTATATCTTCTGATATGGAGGGTTCCGGCAAGTAGGACACCCCCCCCCCACCAATATGCTGCTCTTGGTCGAAGTTTTCAATTGATATCCTACACTTTTTGGTGAAAGTTAGGCCATCTTCAACAAACGTCTATCTGTTTGTTCATCTGAATGAATGTTGAGGTGATTTTCAATATAGTTTCAATACGATATTCCAACATCATAATCACCAATGGTGAGACACGACTTTTGTAAATTATCTTTGTTCAAAATTCAGGAAATGTTCAACATTTAAAGTCGAATATAAACTTATGAATTTTAACTGGTCTAAAGAAAAATAATAAACTATACTTAGGCATTTTGAGAATCCTAAATAAAATCGTGTTAACTGTATAAAGTATCATATACCTTATCAACAATAAATTAAATCTCTATCGTATCTCTAATTTCAAAGCGAGGCACTGCTTACAGATGAGAATAGTTCGGTCTCAGAATGGATTCGTCAATTTTTATATTACACTTTTGAATCTTGCGTGTTCCAAAACTTCGTCTCAGCAGGAAACATATCACCACGTCTCCAGTATTTCCACGACGTCTGACTCAGCGAATTCGGACCAGCCTACTAATAAGCCACCACTGCTTCCATATTTAATTAATAATTTAATATCAGGTGATTTCTGGTCTCTTCCCGAACATTCCAGAATATTCGGGTCGATATTCTCGAATGTCCAATGAGTGTTTATAACTAGGCATCATCGACCACCCTATTGGTACTATGGCGCGATAATCAATCCAAGTTAACACATCAAGTACCAACAATTCAGTTCAGGCAGTGAGACAATTTACTTCGACATAGCGAGAAATTCATCCAACATGTAATCTAATTCAGCAATAAGAGCAATCAAAACTGCAATAATCAATCTTATACATAGAAATGTTTTCGTATAAAGTGGTAAAATAAATACTTATATTATCCAGAAAACAACTCATTAGTTATCCGTGCCTTCGTACTACCTTAAAAGTAGAAACTCATTACTGCTTTTAGTAAAATTTAAAATGTAATGATGTAACCATCCATTATCAACGCGGGACTAGTTCCTGAGCGCTCAAATCAATTATTTTTTCAAAACCAAAATTGTTCAATTAAGCGAAAATAAAGAAAGAAATATCAATACCTAACAGCCTATTACGGCATACAGAGAAAAGCTAAAGTATAAAATTTAAATTAGACGTTTGTAATAAAAAGAAGGAATACGTGGATGCATTCAATAACGTAAAAAAAAGGGCCTGGAGACAGTGAAGCAGTAATAAACGAACTTTAACTAAAGTAGACTTTGGTAAACACGTAAGAGGAATCAGGAACGAAGGGAACGAACTTTTTCAATAACTACAAGTCGATTTAGAAAGCTTAAAATAGGAGACCATAAAGTTAATCTAACTAGCACATACTCCACTCAACAAAAAGTAAGAAAGTTAACGTAATAGTAATCAACTAAACATTTTACAAAAGTTGGAACAAGATGAAATTAAGAATGGGTCCTAACAGGATATTATTTATCGATAGTTTCTCCCATTTTTGTTAAAACTGAGCAATACTGAAAAAGTAAATTACATAGAAAAATGCAAAGTTTATGAACAGCTGACTCGCAAGAAGTATTGAAAACTAAGGACTAATTATACATAAAAATATATTTCATTAATTTTATGCTTAAAGATCTATACTTATCCTATCAGTATTAATTATTTCACCTGACAAAAAATTCTATTGTCATTAAGACGGTGAATTACAGAGTAGTAAATATAATTAAAATTAGTGTTAGATTTTACAAGGAATAATTTTTGATTTCTGAGGACATACATTCACTCAATTATGTGCAAAAGCAGAATAATGTCAACCAGTCAAGCATCATACGCATCTCATCGCCTACCATTTATTATATAACAGGTCAATTGAAAAGTCCCCGGCCTAAAATAGTAAAACACATTTTTTTTGCAAAATTCGTTTTTTTTTATTCAACATAATTCCCTTCAAGGGTGATACACTGATTATAGCGATCCTCCAACTTTTCGATACCATTTTTGTAGTACGATTTGTCCTTTGCTTCAAAATAGGCCTCAGTTTCGGCGATCACCTCTTCATTCGACGAAAATTTTTTCCCAACGAGCATTCTTTTGAGATCTGAGAACAGGAAGTAGTCGCTGGGGGCCAGATCTGGAGAATACGGTGGATGCGGAAGCAATTCGAAGCCCAATTCATGAATTTTTGCCATCGTTTTCACTGACTTGTGAGACGGTGCATTGTCTTGGTGAAGCAGGACTTTCTTTTTCTGCAAATGCGGTCGTTTCTCGGCGATTTCGTCCTTCAAACGGTCCAATAACGCTATGTAATAGTCGCTGTTGATGGTCCTTCCTTTTTCAAGGTAGTCAATGAAAATTATTCCACGCGCATCCCAAAATACAGACGCCATAACCTTGCCAGCCGACTGTTGCGTTTTTGCACGCTTTGGAGCGGGTTCATCGTGTGCAGTCCACTCCGATGACTGTCGATTGGACTTCGGAGTGAAATGATGGAGCCATGTTTCATCCATTGTCACATATCGACGCAAAAACTCGGGTTTATTACGCGTGATCATCTTCAAACACTGCTCTGAATCATCAACTCGTCGTTGTTTTTGGTCAAAAGTGAGCTCGCGCGGCACCCACTTTGCACAGAGCTTTCTCATACCCAAATATTCGTGAATGATGTGATGTATACGTTCCGTTGATATCTGTAGAGTGTCTGCTATTTCATTCAATTTCAATTTACGGTCATTCAAAATCATTTTGTGGATTTTTTTAATGTTTTCGTCCGTAACAGCCTCTTTTGGGCGTCCACTGCGTTCACCGTCTTCGGTGCTCATTTCACCACGTCTAAACTTAGCATACCAATCCTTGATGGTTGATTTTCCTGGGGCAGTGTCCGGAAATTCGTTATCAAGCCAAGTTTTTGCTTCAACTGTATTTTTTCCCTTCAAAAAGCAATATTTTATCAACACGCGAAATTCCTTTTTATCCATTTTTTTCACAATAACAAAAGTTGCTTCACTAAAAATGCTATAATTCACAAACTAATGATCCGACAGCCGTCAAATTTATAGACGCGTCTTTTGAAGGTTAGGACTAACTGAAAATCATATGGATTTAGTTCTGGTGCCGCCATTTATGTGTCAGGCCGGGGACTTTTCAATTGACCCTAGTACATTAGTAACATCGTCTTCGACATGATATGGAAATATTTGTACAAATTTGTATAAATAATAAAGTAATACAAGCCCAACAAATGCAATTTAAAACTTTTGAGGGATGTTACTTTTTGTTCAAAAGATTTAAAGAGTTCGATTAGTTAAGAATAATTTTCAGAGAAGCAAGTGATATTTTCAGATGGACGTGGTTGGAAACTATATTCCACAAGTTCACCCCATTATACATTTTTGCTTGTGTAACATAAAAACAAAAAATGCCGACAAGGAAATGCGTAATTTCAATGTTCGGTGACATATTGCCTTTCCAGACAAAACCCTTGAAAATTTGTGCTGCAATTTCTCAATTTCATAAGCAGGCTGCATTTTGTACAAATGAATAATAGGTTTTATACTCCGAACATGCTTAAGGAAAGTTTTGTATAAATAATAAACTTTGACGCTTAGGAACCGGTCTCGCGAAGATAATGCCTACATATAGTACATATCCACTCAGCAACCTTACATCAATAATAATCAATAACTATTGTCAAAAAATAATTAGAGTTCAATACAGCTAAAGATTACCGCTGAATAATGCATTATGTGCATGCCCCAGACTATCCCTGAAGACTCCTTCTCAAGTCTACCAGATACACAAATACATTGTCTTTCAAACACAATTTTCTGTCTTTAGGTATACGATTGGGATAATCAAGGAACCATACTATCCTCTTTTCTCTGGGGTTATTGTGTATCTCAAGTGGTAACTGGTTATTTCGCGGACAGGTTTGGATCGTATTGGATTTTAATGATTAGTATGGGCTGTAACTCGGTATTATCCATAATTATACCTTTTATTACGCAATATGGTTCGAATGCTGTCATCGTATGCAGATTATTTCAAGGCATCAGCCAAGGACCTTTATTCCCATGCATTCAATTTCTACTAGGAAAATGGACACCGATCAAAGAAAGGGCTAGATTTGTCGCCGTAACACAATCAGGTACCAAAAATATTGGACAATTATTTGTTAAGCATGAAACAAAATTTTATATTATATATTAATCATTTTTTAACGGGGTTCATACACCACTTACAATTATTTGAATATTTACCAAATGACAACTTATGGGTGTGAATTTCTACCAAATATAAGCGCACGTCAGACTGAACATTGCAATTTACAGAACTTAAGAATACGGGGAGCAGCAAGAAGATAAATTAAACATAGCCAATCTTCGCATTTCTCGAAAACTTACATCTTTGCAAACAGTAATCTACCTCTACTCGTCTTAACTCCTGTTTCTGCTAATTATATACGTATCTCTAACTATTTCTTCATGCCTATGAAGGCGTCCTACCAACTTATGTCATCTATTTGTTTCCATAAGAGCCTCTATTCTCATACTCTTTCTAATACGTCCACATTCTTTTCTATCCACGGTATTTTTAACATCATCCTACAACACATTTCAAACGCTTCTAACCTTATCTTTTCTACAGCGCCCACCGTTATTAGACTTTAATTTGCAGGAATCCAACTGGGATGTATATTTACAGTAGCATTCAGTGGATGGATATCATCAACCCGTTTAGGATGGCCATGGAGTTTTTACATAACAGGAATTTTATCATTTATATGGACCATTTTCTGGACGTTTCTTGGCTCTAATAATCCTTATACTCATAAAAAAATTACAGAATTAGAAATTAAATACATAACAGACAATGTAAATGAAGAAGATGAAGTTAAGGTAAATCGAAATCAAAGAAATAAAACAATTTCTTTTTTGAAATACGTATGTAAAATAGCTGAAATAACATTCAAGGTCGAGTGCCAGATCTAGAGGGAATAAACATATCCCTTCTTAATAAAAGAGAAAATACTGACCTTGAATGAGATTACAAAAAATAAATATATTACTTTTAAGATAAATAAAATTGATTCATTAGAACTTTATTCAAGTTTAACTTCGTACTAAAATTTCAGACTAAAACTATTCCATGGAAACACATCATACGTTCACTACCACTTCTGACGCTTATAGCATTTTCAATGTTAAATGAATTTGGATTTGCCATGTTTACCAACGATATACCTTTATACATGAGTAGTGTACTAAAATTTGATATCGACAAGGTAACACACAATCCAATGCATTACTTCAGGTCAAATTCAATAAATTCTGTATTCTTTCAGAATGGTTTCTTATCTGCCCTTCCATATGCTGTTAATTTCGTAATTCATTTTCTAAATGGCTCGTTTTTTGACTGGATCATTAATAAAAAATACGTATCTTTAGAAATGGGACGGAAAATCTCAGGGTCACTTGGTAAGTTACTTTGGTTTCTTTTTGCAGCTGTCAAATCTAAATTCCCCGGAATCACATGACTACACTCTTTCTCGACATATCTCTTTTCCTTTTTCCCTAGAAGGACCAGCTGAGAACTAGTTTAAATGCATCAACTTTGCCCTTCCCCAGCGAAATTCAAAATTATTTCTTCTTCTTCTTTAAGAAGGTTTTCAAATTCAGATACTCCAAGCTTAGCTCAATTGAGCTTTTGATCAACATGGCAGAAACTCCTTTTTCCCAAAATTTTAGCTAAATTAACTGAGATCCGCAATGCATAACTTTTGTAAAAAAATCGAAATGATTGTACTCCTCTTGTAGACCTAAATTTGTCTCATATTCACTAATAATTCCTTTCATACTAATTTTTCCATATTTTGTCATTTTTAAACAGTAAAAATGTAGAGATATGTGGACTTATATACCTAGTATAAAAACTCTATTCACAAAATTTTTAATTTTTAGGCGCAAGTGGTTCGGCTATTGCTTGTATCGTTCTTGGTTTTCTAACCAGTAACCAAGTTAATTTAGCAGTAGTATTCGTCATATTGGGCTATGCAATTCATGCTCCTGCTGGAAGTTTAATTTTCACAAACCTTTTGGACATAGCTCCAAGATACAATGGCACCTTAATGGGTGTAATTAATACATGTGCCAATCTATTTGCTTCTCTAGCACCATTAAGTGTTCAATGGATTGTAACCGATAAGGTATGTATTAATGTTATTGATTTGCGATACTGAATTAGATAGAATCGCTTCTCTGTTGTCACCAACAGCATTATCATTGGAATTAGTTAATATACCAGAATGAATATACAGGTTTTATCCGGAAAGTAATAGGACTGAGTCGATTTAAAAAAGTTTATTGAGTCAATCGTTACAATTTTTTAAAAACTTTCAAAATAGGCTCCTTCTGCGTCGATGCAGCGCTGCCAGCGCGATTTCCAAGCATTGAAGGCGTCACGGAAGGCATTCTCCGTAATAGTCTTAAGAGCCGCGGTGCATGCTGCTTGGATCCCCTCTGTTGTCTCAAAATGCTTGCCTTTCATCAGCCTTTTCAGGCGAGCAAACACAAATAAGTCCGGGGGGCACATCTGAGCTGTAGGGCGGCTGCGGAAGGGTTGGTATGTCGGCCTTGATCAGGTAGCTGTCCACAAGAAAGGCGGTGTGAGCCGGGGCGTTGTCGTGGTGCAACTTCCAGTCGGCTGCGATGTCTTATCGGACCCGATTGACCCTTCGTTTGAGTCTCTTGAGTACTTCCACGCAAAACTTGGCGTTGACAGTTTGTCCAGGAAGAACAAATTCATAGTGGACGATGCCTTTCATGTCAAAAAAGACAATGAGCATCGTTTTCACTTTGGATTTGCTCATTCTTCCCTTTTTTGGGCGAGGAGACGCCACCGTATCCACTCGGAAGATTGCCTCTTTGTCTCGGGATCATACTCAAAGACTCGTCACCTGTGATTACGTTATTCAAAAATTGGGGGTCACTTTCACACATGTTTAAATTTTCTTGGCACACTTCCACTCGCCGCAATTTCTGGTCGTCAGCGAGCACTTTTGGGACCATCTTCGCGCACACCTTGCGCATGTTCAAATGCTCCGTCAAAATGTCATGAACCACAGATTTTGTTAAATTTAATATCTGGGCAATTAAACGAATAATTAGCACACACATTCATTGTCGGTGTTTGTCGAAGTCGAAGGTCTTCCAGCACCGTCTTCATCGACAACCTCTTCCCGGCCCTCTGAAACACCGAAACACAACACTTCTTGCTAAAGCAACATCTGGGTAAGTTGCTTGATCATATCAAACGTCTCTGTCGCAGATTTACCGAGTTTCAGAATTTAATCGCGCACCTCTGCTCTAAGAAACGCTGCATTTTCGGCTTGCACCACTCACAGAAACACGTCGCGCGAAAAAGCCTGTTCTAACTCTCCAGGTGCTCGGAGACAACTCACCAGCCGCTCGTTCGTTAGGTAGGAATGCCCTTTACCGAATCCAGTCGGTGCGCGCACGCTCCGAAGTACAGTCGCGGCAGAAGGAAATCAGTCCTATTACTTTCCGGACAAACCCTGTACGTTTTAATGTAACGAAAATTGAAATACCAACTACTTCAAATTCGAGTTACACGATTGCAAGTATATTCGCTACTATTATCCATTAAAGTACAGAAGGGTCTAGACAATTTTTGTACCCAAAATCAACAAAATCTTTAAAGAATAAATATATCAGAAATAAGCAAAAGCGTAATGATGAGCGCACTAGCCAAGCAAACCCCGGCTAGCTACTATTTTTGTTAAAAGAATGTATAACTATAACCATTAAATATATTTTTGGTGGCTAGGTCAGGTTATATAGTTGTCAAGGTTTTTTTTTTATATTTTATTTGTTAGGCTTATATCTATCCCCATCTTATACAGTTTAATTTAAAATTGTGTCGCTTGACTGAACAGTGCATCGAATATAGCTCTTATTATTTTAATTAAAACATTTTGATGCTCTAAAATTAATGGTCATAAAAAAAAATTGTTTCTCACACAATGACTTATATATTGTTATTATAATAAATGAATATGTAAAAAACAAAAGAACACAAAGTAATCTAGTTTTAATATATGTACTAAACTCGGGTCATGAAATGCGTAAGTGTACGTAATTTAGTTGGCGTTCCATCAACTTCAGGACGCTTCCGCTTCTGGAAGCAAGGCTGTTGAATGATCAAACATACAAACCTTCTATTTTCTCTGCCATCACCACAAAAAGCATTAAAATAGTGCAGAGGGAGATAATAAAGATACGGAAATAAATAAACAGACAGTATGATAAGTGACAGTAGTAAACATTGGACATTATTATTTTATTATTATTTGCATATTATTACTTAATAATAATTAATGATTAATTCAACCCGCGAACACGTGTTTCAGATTATATTTTTTTGCATTGTTATCATTCCAACATTATAATATTATGAGGCGTCTCTGATTGTTATGCATATTAAATAGACTAATTACTGTCATTATTTGAACATTAACGATTTGGAAATCATCAACGTACAAATACACAACTTTCAAATTGTAGAACTTTTGAGACGCTTACTATCTTAATACCATTTTATATAATACAGAACCAATTATTGAGTTAGAAATTTAAAAAAAAAGAAACAATTCGCATGATGAGAATACAATGCTGCCTAATCAACATTCTAAATAGTTCAAGTTCAAGATTCTGGGTATACACCGCGTCAGTTTATCTGCCGCAGGCGTTTCGTTCTCGATCACACGAGTCATCCTCAGGAGTCTCAATGTAAATTAATGATCTAAAGTAGCAGAAGGTATTCGAAATTAAAAAATTTGCAACCGAAAATTGACGCTGTGCAATCCTAGAACCCTGAACTTCACGGTCAACAATTCTCACGAAACCCTATTGTCATTTCCGTATTTAATTTTTTTGCGCTTCTTCAGTTCCAATGATATTTACTAAATATTACCTGTAGTATTGCTAAAAATGTTCTTTAAGTTGTCTGCTTATTATTATTAATAATAATAATAACGAACATTAATAATAGCCATGGTTGTTAAAAGACTAATTAAGGATAGAAAATGCAAGAATCTGCTGCGCAATAAGCAACTGCACATCAATTTCGATATTTTAAGTTATGAATCACAAAACGTAAGCAAAATCAACCAAGAAAACTAGAACTAGGAGCCACGAGAGCGTCACTAATCGTATGTTGTGCTAGGTGGTCCTTTGCGCAGTAAGGCAGTGCGCATCCGATTTAACATATAAGAAAGAAGATGGGAGTAGTAACTGAATCCGAAACGATTTAGTCTAGAAAGTATCATCACTAATAATGATGAGCGACTACACATCGCTTTCGGTATAGTCGTTTGTGAAACACATAAAATCAAAATCTTTCGTACGCGTAAATCGGATACGTACTGTCTTATTACGCAGCGGGCCACCAAACAAAACCTGGTGCTATCGCACCATACAGTGCCATGCAGTTTATGCCACTATCTCTGGTCTTCTTGCAAGATTTTGTTTAAGTTTTATTTTTGAAATTGTTAAACACACATCTCACATGTCAGCAAACCCTTGCTTTTTCCCTTTATCTAATAGTCATCTTGTTTTTCAAGCCCATTCGCTTCAAGTTCCGCTATTACTGCTAACCTAGCTTCTTGAATTCATCAAAATCTCTTTACATCAATTCTCCTTGCTGCACAGTCAACTGACCAATACAAGTTGGTGACGCTCTTACGGCTCCCTGTGTAATTTTTACTGCTATCTCTAGTGTATCGTAGTTGCGAGAGAGTAGCTTGGTATAGGAGAAGTTTACCATCAAAACACCTGTTTTCCCTTTAAATATTATATATTCAATACAATGCTGAAAGACAACAAACGACTAAAAATACGTATAAACAATTACCAAGTTACTAGGTAGAAGCCATGGGTCACTGAGGGAGATTAAGTTAAACAGCCGTACCTTTTATTTTTCCTTGACTTCCAGTAGGAAACTATCCGCTATATGGGGATCTGGTGGTTCCCCCTCTAAGTGGAGATTCCGATACAGGGTTGCAATCGTCAACCCAACGCTCATCTATGATGTACCGGACGATTCCCAAACCATATGGGCCAATGAATCACCTCTTCCTTCCGGTTTCACGCCCGCTTCGCGGACCTCACTTTATCTCTCTCGCAGACTTCACTTCATCTTCAGTTTCCTCATTTAGCTTTGCTCTTTATAGGAGCCCACATAATGTTTGTTTTCGACATCGTCTCATGGAACTTTCGGAATTTTGTCTAGGTCCACAGTGACCGTGCTTCCGCGTAACAGTTTCGCGTTTCGCAAAATCGACCCAACATATCCCAGAAGCATAACAAATGCCATATAGTACGATAGTTCCGCGTTTTGAAAATTACGCAAACCAAATTCACGGAAAATGAAAAATATAATTTTGGAAATTACGAACACTATGTGACACTAGTCTTCTTAATAATAATTACTGAACAATATTCTTAGAATTAAGTACGCATTTCTAGCCATGTCCGTTGAAGAGCACATATTAAAAAAAATAATTATTTTATAAACACCAATAAAACTTTCAAATTCAGGATCCTCTTGCCCTCCGTCCAAGTTTTTCTGTGGTTTCCTAGGATCATTTAGACAAATGCTGGGGCAGTAATATCCACGGTATAGTTTCTAAAAGATGGCTGAATATGGCCTTCCGCCCTACCCTCCAGGTTTGCTCTCGAGTATAAAGTATAGGTTGAAAAAACTGCCCGCATACCATCATTAGTAGTTGGTGAAGTGATGGAAATGAAGCACACAAGAGTTTTCTTGAAGAAAACGAAAAAGGCGGTCATCTCCACAATATTTCCATAGGAGTGTCTTCTACTAACAAAATCGTTTTCTGTATCGCACGAAACTTACAAAATCCGCTCATACGTGACTATTAATGTTTATAGTTTTATTTCTAAAATGTGTAATATGGGTTTAAATAATATTTTTAAAAAATATATTATTTTAAAAAAAAATGTAATTTAATTTCTTTTCAGAGCGATGTAGCACAATGGGCGGTGGTTTTCTTTCTTATGGCAGGATTTCAAGTTTTCTCCACAATCCTCTTAATATGCTTTGCGTCTGGAGAAGTTCAATATTGGAACTATATAGAAAATGAAAAAGAAAGAAGCAATGACAGAGATAATAAATGAAGACTTATTTTTGTTAGGATGAATTTACGTAGAAGCAGAAAAAGCCAAATTACAAATGCGTAAATAAGAATGAAGTATTTAGTTGTGTGTACTATTTCTTAAAGCATGCATAAAAGTCAACTGCGTATAAATTATATATAGTAACTGATGAACATTATTCGTTTGTTATTACAAACAGAATAAACGATTAAATTACAATAAAGTAGAACAAAGTAAAAACCGTCAATCACCAATTAATTATTTTCTTACGTTTAACTAAACACACGATGTTCACCAACCATACTAACACTAACATGTTTTACAATCGTCCGAGAGTTGGCGACTAATTTGCGAAAAGCAATAATTAGTACCGCCTAAAAGTTAGTAGAAATGTAATTTTAATATATTCAGAAAAGGAGTGGATATTTTGCCAGAATACCAGGTTAACTATGTTGCAAAGTCAAAAATCATCCTAAATTAACTAGNTTATTTTATTGGTTTTTTCTATATTTTCCTTTAATTGAATGGCACTGTTTTAATTAATGAAAATTTCTATTTTAGCTTTTAGTATTTGTATTTCAGTATTAATTATTAACAATAAGATATGCACCTACGTATATAGTGCTGTATTTGCTAATACATAAAAAAAGAATTTTCTGTCCCTTTTTTTCGTTTTAAGAAAAATAAAAATAATGGGAAAGATGTAGCGGTATAATTTTCAAATTTGGCGCCATACGTCGAAGTTCTGTTAATTGCTAGATGGTGCCAAAATTAGGAATAATTCATATATATTAGTACCATTTAGTAAAGCTTGAGGCGTGACCTTTTAAACAATAAATGCAGTGCAACACATTTTTACAAAAATTGTGATTTAATCATCTATAAAGTATATAATCTATAATAGTAATTAACTATGGTATAGTTATCTATCTATGGTATAGTATCTATCTATGGCAATGCTCATTAAGTATGCCATGAAGATGCATACGTTCAGATCATAGAAAAGAACAATGATAGATAATATGACGATAGATCTACAACATACCATTGAGCGGAATGTATATCGCGTTTGTTCAAAAAAAATTAATGGAATTACTATTTCCTTTTCCCCCATCTACCTAATTTTCAGTTTTTCATACTTAAGTCAAAATATGCACATATACACATAATCTACTAATTTATTCATCTTCATTGTCGAAAATAGAAGAAAAATATACTTCAGCAAATTGAGATTTCACGGTTAATTTAATAAAAACTTCACACCTATTACTCATCATGTACTCATCTTACATAAAACGATATACTGCAAATAAGAATATTTATACAAACTCAAATAACTTCAAATCACAACGTGAATAGCAAATCATAAATATAACGTGATGCATATTTTCATTCCGCGCACGCGTATTAATAAAAGCAATGAAATTTAATTTAATTATTATCTAGATAACATCAATTCTGTTTAGCAAAGTGGCTCATTTAGCATCTTCAAGCAAGAATAACGCGCAATTGTTTAGCGTCAATTAAATTATGGCAGCTTCAATAGTTTTGGAACAAATAAACATTAAATTTCTCCCAGCACGCGAAATGTGAGTCATAGTCTAATCTGTTCCTGATCTACTCTTTTAATCACTTAGGAATTTTAGTGATACAGTTCACTGTTTAGGATGGCATTCGTATGGTATGTCAGCTGGTGGAGTTCAAACAATAGTTATTAATTAGTCGTTATGATAAAATAATCAGTTGTGATAGAAATAAAAAGATAACATGTTTATCGGTGAATGTAAATATATTATGATTGATAAGTTACTTGCTTGAATGCTACCTCAAACCGAAGGAATTTTTAATAAGGTAATTTGTAATTGACATTTTTGTAAATAATTGTAATTAATATATATTATTTTAGAAATGAATCCCTACATTATTGAATCCGATTTACAATACGAAGTCGTTGACAACGATACTTGCTTGAATAGAAAACATAATAGTTCTATTATCATTACTAATGTTTATGAAGGAATACCAGAAACACTTATTGTTAATCTAATATCATGGGCTAGCTTAATTTTACTGTTTGCATTACTAAGAAATCGAGCTTGGGACTACGGTCGCTTAGCATTAGTGCATAATGAAAAGTGGACTCAGTTATTTTATAAAAGTACTGATGATGCCGTAAGTGTAGATGAAGCAACCCAAGAATCGTCGTTAATGTCAGACTCCAGATGTTGTTCTTGGTTTCCTTCAATATTTAAAATTAATAAACACCGTTTGATAGATCGTGCAGGGCCAGATGCAGCACATTATTTATCTTTTCAACAACATTTGTTACTACTAAAAGTTATCATCACCATTTTATCTTTGTGTGTTATTCTTCCTATTAATTTTCAAGGAAATTTACAAGGGAGTGTTTATACTTTTGGACATACAACTCTTAGTAATTTAGAGCCTACTTCAAACTGGCTTTGGATGCATGTAATTTGTTCTTTTGCCTTGGTACCTTTGACAGTATTAGTTATGAGGCAAACATCCAGTCGAATTCCAACAACAACAATACTATCCAGTAGGACAGTAATGGTTACTCAGATTTCTAAAGGCCATAGAAATCCTGAAGAAGTTAGGAGCTACTTTTTAGTCCGGTTTCCAAATATAGGCATAAAAGATGTCCAATTTGCTTATAGAATAAAAGATTTAACCAATTTAGAGCATCAGAGGGAAGCAGCACGCCAAGCAAGAATATACTGTGAAATGAATAACAGAGAAATTATTAAGGTGCAACCATATGGTTGTTATTTTTGTTGTCCATGTAAAAGCAAGAATGCTTTGGAATATTATATAGAAGAAGAATCAAGGTTAAATGCTTTAGTTTCACAAAAAAGGCATCAGGCACTTCATCAGCCTCTTGGCATAGCATTTGTAACTCTTGAAACAGCTGAAGAAGCTGAAGCTGTTCTTCATACGTTTGTTCCTGGAACACGCTTTCATTGGAATATTACAAATGCACCAACTCCCTCAGACATTATTTGGGAAAATCTTCAAGTTTCAGCCAGGAATTGGTATTCCAAAGCAATTATTATTAATGTTATACTTTTTCTTGTTCTGTTCTTCTTAACAACACCTGCTTATGTAGTTAATCTTATAACTACTATAACTCAGCAAAGAGATTTAATGAAAAAGGTCAGTCCAGTGATATCTGAATTTCTTCCTACTCTTCTAATGTTATTTATGGCTGCTATAATGCCTGTAATTGTTGCTTATTCAGATCAGTGGATGTCCCATTGGACAAAATCCAAACAAAATCTTGCTACCATGCAAAAAACATTTTTTTTCTTATTATTTATGGTTTTAATTCTACCATCATTAGGTTTAACTAGTGCACAAGCATTGGTAGAATGGTCAGTTTCAGAAAACCGTACTTATCGTTGGGAATGTGTTTTTTTGCCTGATAAAGGTGCATTTTTTGTAAATTATGTAATTACATCTTCATTAATTGGAACAGCGCTTGAGTTGTTACGTTTTCCAGAATTAGCCATGTATGTATGGCGTTTACTTCTTGCTAAGTCCCCCGCAGAAAAAATTAGTATCCAGAAAAATATACTAGCTGAATTTCCGTACGGAATTCACTACGCATGGACGTTGCTTATTTTTACTACTAGCACTGTTTATAGCTTAACTTGCCCTCTTATAACGCCTTTTGGTTTATTGTATTTATGTTTAAAACATTTTGTTGATAAACATAATCTGTTCTATGTATATCGACCCAGTGGCATGTGTGGTGAAGGACAACAGATTCATATCTTAGCGGTTAAAAACGTTCGTGTCGCTGTATTGCTACTTCAAGCAATTATGGCGACTTTTGCATTTATTAGGGGTGGTTTAGGAGCCCTGTCAATCGTTACAATGTTAGGATTTGTTTCAACATGTAGTTTCTTCTTTTTGTTGGGTCCTTTTCCATCTTGTCGTCCTGTTGCAACGGTAATTAACAACATGCCGGAAATACAAGACAATTACGTTGCGCCAGTTTTAATCAGTTCTGAAAAAGCATCAAAAGAAGAAACTATTTCTTTTTCTCCTTGCTATGGTTCTTCAAATTCGAACGAAATCGTTCCAGTGGCTGCTATTAATCCTACTCTAACAAATGTTATTTAATTGCATTTTTATTGTTATTCATGTATAACCCTCCCATTTCATTTAACATTCGGCTGTGAAAGTAAGACAAATTGATATATTTATATTAACGATTATTAATTGTAATAACATTGCAATTTGTTACAAAGTTATTTAAATTTTTTATTTTTAAACAAATATGAATCCTGTTCAATAATTCTATGTAAATGGGAAATGTTTTAGATGGTAACATTTATTAGTTGTACTACACGATTGTTTATTTGTTTCAGAATTGTCGTAAAACGTTATTTACAACTTTTACAAAATGCACTATCATGTCCAAATTGTCATTCTAATTTTAATAAATCGTAGTAAGATGTATACAATCACCACTTTATTAGTGAGATATCTTTTCTTTTAGTACGTACATGAAAAGTGTTTGATTTGTAAAGTAAACAACTTAATACTAAAATTGATGTACTTATAATTTTATAGCTGATCGTTAGTTAAATCTCAATTTGTTTATTTTTTAAAATAAAGTACATTAGCGCTCCTAAATATTTCTTATCTTTTAATATTTACATATTGGTGATGATACAGTATGAGCCTTCATTGTAATTATTTGTATATATATCAAGGTTGACCAGTTTTAATGACATCAATTTTTGTCTGTATTAGAGTTTATATGAGCATAAAAACCATATATTTTGCGAAAAAGTATAAAAAATAACCGTTATAATAATGGACATAGCTTAATGAATTTATATTTCTTAGCCTGTGCAAATGATTTCTATCATCTCATTTTTTTTGTTAGTCTGTATATAGTATTTGAAGTAATATTAATGTAATTTAAATATGCTTCTTGACAATTACTTCAAACTTTCTGTAACAAATGATACGTTTTCTATAGATTACTTTTAACCCTATGTTATTTTATTTATATATGTTTAACATAAAATGCTTATTAATTTCAATATTCTTGTTGACTTATTGATTTTTCCCCTACCCTAGGACCTTAGCATATTATAGTAGATACATTTTATATAACTAATTTATTAGTGTTCCCGATTTGGGCTTGATGGCCGCAGTCTATGATTGATTTCCCTTTTTCATTGACAATACAATAAAGTCGTTTATCCGACGTTTCGTCAACTACTGCAGTTAGCGATTGTACTGAGACGAACAATTTTACACTTGTCAAGTTCATTGTATAACTTCTGAAGAAGCCAAAATTTGGTTGGTTAAAAATTGTCGAGTGTAATAAAAATTTGTTGTAATATCTCCATTTTATTTGTTTTTTTTTTAATGAGATTTGTCTTTTAAGACAATATGAATTTAGTCATAATAATCGTAATAAATATAAATATAATCAATAAAGAAAAAAATTATACAATTAACACAATTTATTCAGTTATGATATTTCATTAGAAAACATTAACTAATTTATATATAATACAGCGTATTTAGCAAATAAAATGAAACGTTTAATTTTATTTTCAATGATTAATAAATTTCAAACCAACGGTTTCTTTACCCACTTCAGAAACTTGACAAATTTTGCATGTAATACCTTTAAATTGTGGAGAATAACTAGCACCGCATAAAGGACACGTTTCTTCTGGTCTTCCTCTATAAATTACCTTGAAAGTAACTGCACATAAATTAAATGGATTATGCTCATCATAAAGTAATTGTAGATCGTCTGCAGGATTTGTATCACAGGCTTGAAGAATTTTCCTAGCTTGTTGTGCTACTTCAGGCTTTGGACCAAGTTCTAAAAGACGTTTCGCAAAGGAAGTTGCGGTTTTGAAATTTTTTAATTTGAAGAACATATTCAGGGCAGTTCTTAATGTAAGAATTTGATGTATAGGTTGAAGATTACAATGAGTAAAATAAGCAGCCATTTCGCATTGTCGTTTTTGCTCTTCAGGAGTCACTTTTGGCAAACTTCTTCGAAGCGTTTCCATTTTCAATCCAACAATATACTCTCGGCATATTTTTATAAGCTGATGAGCTTCGGTAAGTTCTTGTTTAGAATCAACAATTACAAGTGTTACTTGAAGAAGAAGAAATTGAAATTTATCAATTGCTTCTGTAAATTTACCGCTAGTTGTCAGTTGATAACAAACTTGAAGTTGTTGAACCAAATCAACTAATTTAAACCCTTGTAGAGGTAGACCATTTTTCAGTGGTGCATCTTTCCAATTTCGTTGAGGATAGGTAAATAAAGACGGAACGTTTTGTTGCCATGTAGAAATTAGGCGTGAACTACTGTAAACTGCCATGAACAGCTGCTGATAAGGTTTGAAGTTAACAACTGCAGCCTGTTAAAAATAAACAAGATACATAATTTTTCTTTTGATATAAGGAAAAAAATAATACTTGAGTGTGAAGAAGGCGACAAGCTGACTCAAAAGAGCCGACGGCAATATGATCAACAGGCAATTGAGAATTTTTTGTCCAAAGAGAAGCAGCTGAAGGTCCGGGAGGGGGCAAATGAACAAAACTAGCGCTATTCGTTGTCTCATCTTGTGTGGGACCTAAATCTGGTATTTCTAAATCAGCATCTTCAACGTCCCATCCACCTTCATCATCTGCAGTCTAAAAAATAAAAATTTTATAACACAATTTTAGTTACATCAACAATATACCCACTTCTTTCTTTTTCTTTTGCTCTTTCTGTGCCTCAGCATCCAACGACTCTTCATCTTCATCTACCCAGCCACCTTCTACATCTGCATATGTATCCAAATCAGGATCTATAGCTAAAGTAGGTCCAACCGATGACGTTTTGGTAAGGGCAGCGGTTTCAAAAAAGCCCTAATAAATAAAAAAATTGCATATAGTACATCTCTAATAAACATAATAAATGATTACCTAACAGTCAACGTATCCTATTATTAACACAATCCAAATTACAAGGTTAAAATAAAAAAATTAGTATAGTCCTGAAAGATATCTTATAACTACATTATTTTTAATTTTTCATTTCTTCTTAGTTTGGATATGAATAAGCAAGCAATTTAACCTTTACCGACTTAGATTCTTTGCTTATTCATCATTTTTAATTATTTTAACAAATCGTCAGAAGAAATGTTAGTGAACTTTTGCAATACATTTTTAAAGTTAAGACAGTTTTATTTTAAATTATTTTTTCATTCAATTAAACAAACCAATTAATACTATTGAATTAAAGAAATAGGTATGGCTTACCCTGCTAACAGTAAGTAATGGCCAGTTAGATTCAGCTTGTTGAATAGGTGGAGGAGCCTTTAAAAATTTGGCATTAGGATTAATTTCGGCTAATTTAGTATCGCCCAACTCATCAACAAGAGTTTTCTGAATTTCTTCTGCTTCATTGTGAAGACCATGAGTTACAGCAGTCAAATATGCAAGAGAATTCAGATTAGAATTTTTGAGAATTCTAATTCGTTCTTCCAAATCTCCCAATAAAAGAGCACCATGATACTGAGCCGATTTCTCTTTGCGTATTTCTGCAATTTTCATCATTTTTCGTAGTTTATCAAGATTACCAGTAATTAAATATAAGAAAGATAATTTTTCAAAACTTTTTGTTCTCTGATAACACATTTCAACTATCTGATGATTTCCTTGCATAAGAGCTGCTTGAGCTAAACGATCCCAGCATGTTTTATCGTTCAAAGCTTTAGCAGCTTCAAGAGCAGTTTCAATGTTACCACATTCCAGAGCAAGAGTAAAACGAGTTTTGTCGTCCTTTACGAAGTGTAAAGCCACTTCGGGATATCCTTTTTGCTCCAAGTATGATATAATAGCTTGACCCACAAGCCTAGCATTTCTTACCATGTACAGAACTTCTTCATATTTGTGATGAATCAGAGCAAGTTTAAACTTAAATTCTGTTGGATCGATTGTCAGAACACTAGTTCTGCATTCTCTGTCTAAGCAAAATACTTGATTACCCTTTACTCGAGTTATGTATATTGGTAAATCTAAAGTACGAATAATGCCATGGTCACTAAAAGACATGGTGCATAATTAAATTTGGTACAATATATTAGCTATCACTTTTCTTACCCGTTCGTAACTGTATATTTAATGTGATTACTTGTTGTATAAATAAATACTCCAGAATCATCCCAAGCTCCAGACTTAACACGGGTACTTTCATGAACTGAACATAACTGATCCAGTTTCTTATTACAAATAGTTACAGAATGCTTTGCCAAAAGTGCTAAATGACTCATATCAGCAGACCATACTACATAGCGGCATTTCGACAGTTTAACTAAAATCAATCGTTCATAAACAATAAATTTAAAAATACATGTTTTTTGAAGACGGATTTTTTTTTCCATTAATGAAAACCATTAAACATTAACAATAATTTTTTTCTACATTTAGATTAAAGCAAAACTAGACTATATTTAGATCAGTATTTATATCTGTTATCAAATAAGTATTGTAAGAATTGACCATTACATTTAATATTGCTTAAACCACTTTAAGCTCTTGCAAAATTGTTGCTAAACTTTTTGTATAGGGCAAATGCCGGTTAATTTAAATAAAATAATTAAAAAGTGGGATGTTATTACAGTGTAAATTATTTATGTTATTAAAGATTAAATTTCATACATATTATGTTTACCTTGTGCAAGAGTTCTCTTTTGTTGAACATCAAATAAAGTAATATGTTCTGGATCACGCAATAAGAGCATTCCTGTTCCAGCATAGTAAATTTCATCACAAGGCGGAACTTGTACCTTTTTCGTAACTTCATTCTTCAAATTCTTGATTATTAGCTATTAAAAGAATTCAGTTATTATTTAAATAAAAGACTGGAAGTCTTTTTACAATAAAGTACTATAAAATACGTTGTCACCCCCTTAAAGAAAGGGGTATTACTATAAAGCATTGCAATGTTTTTTCTTAACATTATGCAAAAATATCAATATGTTCATTAAATACCTGATAAGATCTATCCAAAACTGCAAATCTATTTCTTGCCACCCAGAGTGCTGTTATACCTGATGACCTTTTACTTTCTGCTTCTGGAACTTGACTAGTTATTTCACGTTCTTGATCTCTAGGTATCATACATAGATCATAAGTGCTATTATCCAAATTGGTAGTACGAACACAGAGCAATACAGCATTTTCTGCTGGATTAAAAGACATGGAATATGGTGCAGTTCTTCCACTACCACGAATTTGAATAACAGGAACATCTTTTGAAGTGGTAAAATCTAACTTTCTCAGAAATCTGTCTTTTACATAATACAAAAAGTTTCCATGAACTGTGTAAGCAGGTCGTTCTCTTTCCAACTGAAAAGAAATATGGAAATTATAAAATTTTAATGAAATAAGAAATACTGTAATTGTTATTACTCAAAACCGAAAAGTAATAAGTAAATTGTTTGGGGTCAGTACTGACACTGTAATAAATTGCAGAATGTTATAGGGGTTCCCATTTTCTACCTACTTTCCTTATTTCTCCCTGATACTTATCAACGATCATTGAGTAGGTACAGTAATGAGTAAAAACAGATGAGGCAGTTCTTAAAACATGTTTGTATGTCTATCCAAAACTGTTAAGTGCTTCAATACAAGTTAGTAAATAATAAAAATGTAGTCAACTACCTTAAAAATTATCATTCCAGTGTCATGGCCAGCAGCAAATAGGTTTAATGAAGGATGTGATGTTAAAACCCAAAATCGTTCATGTTCTCTACGAAATGTATGTAGACAAGTACGTTTCGTCATATCCCAAACACGTATACTTTTATCCTCGCTGTTAGACAAAATCAGTTCTTGCCTGGGATGAAAAAGAACACATGATACATTGTTATAATGTCCACGACAAGTATCTACTTCCCAGGCCTGAAATTTACATCAGATGAGTAATTATTATAGCTTCATATGTTATAAGAAACAACCTTTGAATCATTCATTCTCCACAATTTAATCTGTCTATCATCTGCCCCAGAAACTATCAATGGCAAAGTAGGGTGAAAGCAGGCCCAATTTACACCACGATCATGACCTTCTAAAACAATTTTAACAACAGCATCTGCTTGTCCAAATAAATCAGTAGTGCCTGGATTTTTTAAATGTTCATCTAAACCGCCTGGACCAGGAGCAACATTCTTCTTACGTAGGCCTGATATATCCCAAACACGAACAGTTTGGTCAAGAGAAGCAGAAACAAGTAAATCCTCATTTGGATGGAACATTGCACACATGACATAGTGGTTATGCCCAGTTAGTACACAGATACAGGTTCGACTTTGCCAATTCCAAATACGGATTGTTTGGTCATCAGATGCAGACACAATCCACGGATATTCATGATGGAACATTGTTGTTCTTATATAATCCAAATGACCAAGTAATGTAAAGATACAACGCTTCTGCTTATAATTCCATACCTACATCAGAAATAAAAACTACACTACTTTTTATACTATATAAATTCATCTACATTTTCACTTCTTCACACTACCCCCAGTCGCTTGCAATTGTACAATTGATAAATTATTGCATACCTTAATTTTGTAATCATCACCACCAGAAACGAAAAGAGGTTGCTGGTTGTGAAAGCAAATTCCCCTGACAGGTCCATCATGTTCATCAAATTTTTCTAGCAATGTGCACATACGGTAATCCCATAATTGAATAGTCCCATTATGCAAACTAAAAATGTTTTAAAAACTTCAACTTGTTAATAAATTACACATGAATGAATAAATTAACCAATCCTTCATAGAATGTTTAAATGTGTTATTACCTTGCCAATATCCATGGACGTTTTGGATGAAACGAAAGCCCTTTAACTCGAGCAGACTTTGTTTCAAATTTTGTTAACATCTATAAAATAGAAATAAGATCAAAATATAACTATTAAAAATAAAAACTTACTGCTTTTTAATTACACACTTAAAATAAAAGTTCGCGAAATTGAGGTTACATTAACAATACCCGATAAATGCCCATACAAGAACTTTAACTTTTCTACGAATTATTTTAATACAAAATCACTGCGTATTATTTAATTTCAAAGTTTTTTAAATTATTTTGAATTACTGTGTATAGTTGACGTGGACTATTTGTAGATTTATATTATGACTATGATTTCCATAGACAAGAAATTATCTATAGAGGTGATTTCTGTCATACATTAAATTACTGTTATATGAACATTCGGCTAAGTTCGTTTTCACTTCTTCTCAATTCTCAATAGACACCAATGGTATAGTCCATGTGTACGTCGTAGATAATAGTTACTCAAGCTGTTTACCGTTTATTTCACTGGTTACTCCTTACCTATGGTCAGCGGTCAAAAAATATTATTATTACATCGAAAATTCTAGGTTTATCTATGAATCATTCTATGAACATAAGAACATTAAAAATTCATAAGCTCTATTAATTAATTTCGACTGTGAGCAACTGTGAGTCTTTGTTTATTATGTGCAAAATGTGTTGCTAGTTAACCGTCTGTACTTGTATACCTTTTGTATTAAAGTTATAGGGTCATATAAGGGTAATATATCTAATCAGTATTTCAACATCTGTATTAATTATTCGTTGTGGCTATAATGAGTGAGGAAAAGTCTGAGCAAGAACAAACACCGGAGGTACCTTTGTTTTTATTAAGAAAAAAAATACAAATAATAATTTTTTGAAACAAAATTACGTTTTAGTTAAGTGCCCACCAACTAGAAAAACTGGAAGAACAGAAACTTAGGTCCAAATATCCTGGAGGTCTTGGAACTTCAAACCCTGATCGAAGCCTGGGAGGGCACTCAGCATTTTTACAAAAGCGACTTGCCAAGGGAGTGAGTAGTCACGTGAAAATGTACATGAACGTATCTTTATCAAGATATATTTTCAGCAAAAATTTTTTGATTCAGGAGACTACCAAATGGCCAAACAAAAAATGGGTAACATTAATAAACCTCAGTTGAAAGTAGCAGTTCCAGTTAATCCTTATGCAACTGGAGATGCAATACCTACTCCAGAAACAGTCCCCATTCGTAAAACTTCTATAATTCAGCAAACAAAGTTTACACCTAATGTTGGTTAATTCGAATACCCTTTAATTTTAATGTTTTGTTTTTTGAGTGAAGTGATTTATAAAATAGTTGATACATGCTATTTTGTGTGGTAATTCTGCATAAGTTGTCTTGTATAAATTAAATTTCAATATAACTAATAAATTAGCCTTTTAATGTATCTTTTTTTATTATAGTTTAAATCATTACTTATTTTATGTTTTCATTTATTTAATTCTTTATTTCAACTAAAGTACATGGAAGTACAGATACATATATACACACAATACAAAAAAACCATTGTAGATATACTATACCCCTGTAGATGTGGACAGGCCACTTATACTTGGGTCTAGTTAGCTAAATTGTGTTATATATTTTATTTAGTAAATACTAATTTTAATAATATATATTTAT